GCTAGCACCTTTTAGCAATGAGTCTCAATGTATTTTACAAAGCTTAAAAATTTCATGGTGCCTGCAAAGTGAGCACAGACTGGTACACATAGCAGTCAAGTGATTTTTCAACATCATACCACAAGTCAGTCACAGAATTTACATTACTCTGAATTTACATTCAGAGGTTCCATCAGCCCAGTGCTGTAACCTCAAGACTACAGTTGGTATATACAAAGAAATACTGAGAACATGGGGGAGAGTAAGAGTGGTATTTATTTTTTTTCCCCCCACTAGGATTTTCCTGTACAATAGCTACAATAACTGTTTTCTAAGCTACAGATTTCAGAAAATTTACATTTGAATCGGTTTTTCAAAATCAGAAATGAACAGTGAAAATATCCAATTATCATATCTGATACAGAGTAAAAAGTTAAATGATTTTCTACTTCATACTATATTTCTATAACTAATAACTGCAACTATTGTTCTAACTTTGTATTACATTTCTACTTTAAATTATCTACCGTATTAGAGATGCACTGTCTTTAGAACAGTCAATATTAACTATACCTTAAAAAGAGTCTCAAAGAAGAGAGTCTAGCTTCTGTTTTCAGCAATGAAATAGTAGAGAAGCATGCATGCATCAAATATGACAAAAACTAATGATAACTATCAAATTGATTAAAGTTTAATAAGAAAAATCAAATATGAATAGATTAAAAGAGCAAAATATATTATTTCCTGTTAGAAGCATGAAAAAAGCAGCTTACATGTAAATTTTCAAAGCTTTAGACGCATGTAAAGAAAATCATTCAATAGTTTATATATGCATGTACTAGTTATAAAGTGAAGACTACTGTACTACTACTGCACAACTAGTAAAATTAACAGGAGATTACATGCTAAGCATGCTAAAAGGCACTTTCTACAACTATAAAGAGAGAGTCTTCTCTAGCCATAGCACAGCATGCTGCTGTTTAGGCAAGAGAAGTACCATTTCCTTACCTCCTGTAACAGATCTGCCTGCTCAATGGCTTTTAGAACATTTTTCTTGGAAGTCTCTTGAACTTCCCCTCCCAAAAGGAACTCATCAAGAATAAAATAGGCTTTTTCAAAATTGAAGATGATATCAAGTTCACACACCTGAAAGGTATAGTAAATGTTGTTATAGATACAGTTGTTATCACTGCCTATTAAAGTAACCTAATGCTTTATAAGATTTTGCTTTCTTTACCAATGTTCAACTAATCAAGCTGAACTTTCCATATCTATTACCAGTCAAATATTTTTTGGAAGATGTCACTCAAAAGCATTCAGTGAGTTGTGATATGAAGATTAATGAAATGTGCCTCATCTTGTCAATGTTAAATTCTGGGAACTTGATCTCTGAGAAACTCTAGTACCCCCCTGTTTGAAGCATGACATTGACAGGTTGCCAAGGGTAGTCTTTGTCAAGGATCTTGCTGCTCCCAAGACAATCCAAACTTGGTCAGGTTATAAAGCGCATAGAAGTCACAATTCTTATCTGTTTCATAGAGACTTTCTAGAGTTTCCCAGCTAAAATGCAGAATGTCTGCATTCAACAGGCTTAGCCAGTTGCTGCAGGAAAGTAAGTACTAAAATTTTCCTTGAAACTGCAGGTTAGGTTGGGGCCAGTCCAGTGTCAGAACCAAAAGCAGGGAAACTCTTTTTGAGTCTGCAATCTCCCCTTCTGCTGTGGGCCAGGAATCACAGAAGAGGAAGTTGGCCAATTTAAATGCAGACAGGACAAAAGTTTCTTGAGGGCAGGGACTAAATTGCAGCGAAAAGCTAAGAGCTGCCACACACAACTAGGACTGGAAGGCAGGGAAGTGGAAGGAGACAGGAAATGGCTAGGCAAGGAGAAAGGGTCAGTATGGGGATACTGTGATTCAGACTTGAACAAAAAAGGAGACCAAGAATTTATAGAATTTTAAGATCACTTAGTCTGACCTCAGAGGAGACTGACTGTCTGAGCAAAGCAATAGGAAGTTATGACAGGAAGCAGGCTGCAGGGGTTGCCAGACTGATGAACAAATTGCAAAAGAGACTAGAAGCCAGTTGGTAGAAGAAAGATCTATCTGATGATGAGCCAGGGTGCAACAGGAGAACTGAGAGTGGCATATGGAACAAAGCTCAGATGCTTAAAAATATGTGCGCAGAAACGGAGCTAAGTACCTAGTGAGATTTTCAAAAGCATATGTTTACATGCTTAGGTCCTTTAAAAATCTGGTTGAGAGATTAGTATAAACAGTGGTAGGGAAGATGAAGAGCCTTGCATGGAGACTAAGACTGAAGGCAAGAGGGATTAAATGACAAGCCAGGATAGAACTAGGCAAAATAAAATTGGCTGAGTGAGGAGACTGGATGCAAGAACTACAGGTTGAATTAGTACTTGCTAGAATACTCATGTACCCACAACCCAAAATAGAAGCCATGGTATTTGAGTCTCACTGTTCTTCTGTTCCCCTCTTGTCAGTAAATAAATTGTCCAAGGGTCTACTCAGATACTAGTCCTCAAGACAGCCTCCTATTCAGTTACTCTGTTACTTCCATCATTGGAAGACCTACAGGTTCCAACCCTGCTAACTGCTTGTTGCTATTGATATTATGCTTTAGGAGGCAATTTGGGGGGTTTTGTTTGCCTTTTTTTAAGCAAGGAAACTATGCATGAAAAAGACATCAAGCAAGCGACCATAATTAAAGTTGCAGAAATCAGCACTCAGAAAAACCAGGAAACAACAGAACAAAGATAGCTGGTACAACTGTAATTCAGTTTACTCATGGATAGGCTTTATGCTACAGTCTTTAGTTACATTATCACATTCCAGTCTCCCACTAGACCTAGCTTTGCTCAGTACACAAGGCAGCACTGGTATGCAAATAAATCAGACTTGTGTCATGAAAAAAAAATCCCAGAAGACACCTGCCTCACCTGTTAAGGATTTTTAAAATGGAACAAAATAGGTAGAAGCTGCAGGAACAGAAAATGTTCCTTTATGTTTAAAGCAACTGAGTGCTGCCCTTAAATGGATCCTATTCCTGTCTCTGCCACAATTTTTGAGTGGCTTACTTAGCGTCACATGACCCCCCTGTAAAAGGTGTTTTTTTAAAATTAATTATTCTTCTCTTTCTGGGGTGCCTGAGTCAAGAATCTGAGACCTGATTTGCAAAAATGCTGAGCACTCACAGCTACAAGTATGCTGTGCTTTGTACAAACTATGCAATGATTAAAACAAGATTTCTCAGAGTATATGAATAGTAGATTTGGCACCCAGAACTTATTAAACACTTCTGATATCAAACTCAGACCCCCCATCTGTAAAACGAGGATCTCCCCTCACGTCTACATAGGTACTAGGAGATAAATTAATATTTCAGTGCTTCACAAACATTGTTATAATGAGCACTATTGAAAAGTCCACAAAGAAATCGGTAATTCTTCAGAGCAGAGGTTAGAGTGCAATAAGACCTATGGTCACCCACTGAACACTGAGAAGAAAATAAAATACTAACTGATTGTTAGGTAAACACTGCCTATTCTGTTCACCAAATATGGCAAGGATCTTATGGAAAGTATAGCATATAATTAAAGACTATCAGAATGCATATACAGAAAGGAGGGTAAATTAAGGCTATGAGATCCTAAATCTAACATCTGATAATTCCAAGTGCTTGATTTTGCAACCTTAACATTCATTAAAGTTTTGTATATGTGTAATAAAGACATTGTTTTAGTCCTCTATGTTCTGAGTGTCAAAAATATCAGATGGTATGCACTGGAAATTTAAGACCACTAACAGCTTAAATGTTACATTTTGCAAAACAGGTGCCAAAACATGTAGCCCGTGGGCTGAAAGCAGCCCACAAAAGGTGGTCATCCAGCCTACAGGGCTTCCCATGGAGCTGGAAATTTATGCGGGGGGATGAAGGGGAGAGTTTAGCCCATGTGACTGCCAAGGCCATTGTGTTGGTGGGACCAACACCTGGGGGGTTAACACTACTACTGCTACTGAAACTGTACATCATGATCTCTGCTGGGGACCTAATTCTGCAACACATTAACCTCCCAGGTGCTGGCCCCACTGACAAAGTGGCTCAAGCAGCCATGGGAGTTAATGCCACCGCCACTTGCCCCACTGCTGAATTTTCAGGTCACCATCCCCACTGAGGACATAATTCCGCAACCACAAAGCTAACCTCTGGGGCAGTCAGATATGCTGTGTCAGCAGCAGGGCCAGCATCCAAAGGTTAACAATGCTGCTGTTCACATAGCCTCCAGCCCATGAAAAGCCCCACTGAGCCAAATGATTTTGCCACCCTCTCAGAAAAAAAACAAACAGCCAAAAGTACAATGTATAAAAATGCTTGAAGTTCCTGTACTATAATTAGCAGCATTCCCAGAAATAAAATACACTGAATTTAGTTTTTACTCATGGGAATGTACTTTAACTGCTAATGAAGATGCAATAAAAATCAGGAACCACCTCATCCAATCAGCTCTTTTTAGGATGCCATTGTTTTAAACATAACAAACTGTATTAACACAAATATGCTTACCAATTTGGCTTGGCAGAAATGACATTAATTTTATCAGATACATCAGGTACATGTGTCCAATAACAGAGAAAACACCACTTTTGAAAGTGTTTTGTGCTGAGAAAAAATGGTGCAATATATAATAAAACCAAAACACAAACATTTTAAAAATGTTTACAAGTTCTCAATAAGGACAACCACTAACTCACACTGCCAAAATACTTGTCAAGCAGCTCCACATAACGATGAATTATTTCAAGGGTTATTAGTTCATTGTCCTGATCTTCAATAGCACAGCAGAAATAAAGGCTTGCATATCTGCAACAACAAAACAATCTTTATGTTAGCACAAAACATGCACAAAAATTAAATTAACAATCAATTCTTCTCGGCCCTTGGAAATAAAATATATATGCATCCTCAAAAAAGTGATGTAACAGAGACCTCAGCAGTTGTCTCCCCAGTGTATGGCCACTGTACACCCCCCAAAAGATGAGGGAGCTACCTTTACTATAAGTTGAAGAAAAATTCAATTTCCATGCCCTTGTCATCTTTAAATTTCTCTCAGGGTGCTGATAAGAAACTAGTTCCAGAGACAACTGGACTAGCTAATGTCACACAAGAAGGTGGTTTTATTTATGCATATTCTTCGCTCTAAACACAAATGTGAACAATACCAAAAGACCACCAAAAGTACTCATTGGTTAACCAACTGTATTGGCTTCATAAAAGGAATAACAATTCATAAAAGGAATAACTATTGCTAATTCACAGAACTAGCCTTAAATCTCAGGAGCATACCCGAATGCTCATTTAACTCATAAGGTTTATATGCTGCCCTCCCCAAAAATGCTCTACCTGGTTTACCATAAAAAACAAGGAAAATTATAAAACAGATAAAACACTAAAATAAAATCAAATTGCCCAAAACTTAATACTGGCCACACAAAAATAATGTCCTGCATTGCTTCCAGTAGATGTCAACAAAAATCAGCACCAACAATCTCCCAGAAGAGGGAGGCAACTGCTCAAAAGCAGCCATTAGAAGTTCGTCAGCTGAGAAGCTGGAAAACTTCCAGAGCAAGCTCTGCTACTGCTCTTGACTAGGAAAATAAAATCAGGAAAATTCTATGCTTGTAACAAGGAGAAAAAATGAGGGATTATATGTGGATTCATAATGGCGCACAGATGACTTGCACCTACATTTCGTTTCGCAAGAAAGCTCCCTCAATGCCAGGGAGGGATGGCCATTAAACTGCTACATTGTATTTATCTGGATACTTGACTATATGCATCTTTTTACTTCTTTCATGGAACTCCCAGGTTTCTCTCTGCTGGTTTAAGGCAGTTGGTGGTATAATATCAAGCCATGTTTACATAATGACAGTAGGGATGACTTTCACAATAGCCATTTTTCTTGTGTTTACTATCTTCTTGATTTACCCTAGTGTATGCAAGCCTGCTTCTATGTCTCTACTTGACTAGAGTGATCAACTGCCTTATCTACACAAAAATTCTACAACAAAGCATCTCATAAAACATACACCATTACCCTACATTTGGTCTTGGTCTCATTCATATAAGTGTGTAAAACCAGTGTTTCTTGAAAGCAAAAGGAAGATCCTCAAAAAAAAAAAAAATCCTTTTGTGAATTCCACTCACCTACGCACCCAGACTATCTCCACATAGGGCATTCCCAGACAGACATACTTTCCATTCAACCATTTCTGCTTAGTGTGTCATCCACCCCTCCTCCTCTCACACAACTCCTCTCTCTGTGACTTCTTAGACCCAATTCTGCCTGGTCCGACTGAGTCAGAAAGCTGCTCTAGTGTGCCTGTAAATAACGGCACATCGGAGAAGACTTTATTAATGCAGTCTTCCCAAGTGTGCACTCCAGCCAGCCTCCACATCTCACATAATCAGCAATGAAATAGCAGCAGGGGCACTTTAACTAACAGCTCATTTAGTGAATTTTAGATAAAGCACCTCTGCCACCATTTTGAAGCGTAAGGACACTGATACACAAGACGTTCCGTTCCGGGTGCTTTAATTAGAGCAGCTCTTGGGGCTGCTCTAATTAAAAGTGGCCCCTCACCTCCCACCCCGAGCACGTGTAAAAATGCCCTTAATTTTTCTATGCAGAGATGATCCCAATTGCGTCCCTTCCATCATCAAATCCAACTGAGTTTCTGTTCATTAAAAAAACCCCAAACACTATGACCTCAACCCCAGTTTCATTCTCTTTTCATTTCTTCCTGCCAAACATTTCCGCTTCAGTTCATGCAATAGACTTCTCACTGCAATTCTTGACATTTGAGATCCTGGCCCTATGTCTCTTCATGACACTGACTTGCCAACTCATTTCAGATCTAAAAATGTACCTTACATTTTCCTTCTGTGCTGTTATGTAGTTACCTTCCTCCCTGTGCTCTTAATTCTAAGATTTCAGCTATATTGTTTACAGCAATTCTAGTAGATCTGGGGTTACTTATGCAAAGTTGGCTCATGATCACTTACTTTCCAATGGCTTAGTTTAAAGAGTAGCAAGTAACAGAGGCATCCAATAGGTAATTTCTGTAAATTTAAAGATATGAAACCTTTTGTTTAACACATTTCTAAGTCTGGAAAGAAAAATATCTACATGTTGCTTTAGCACACTAATTTGAACAACACCCTAACTGCCAGCACTCAAAGCAAATCTGTCTGAACATTTCTATTCTATTACTCAGAACACATGACTTTCCTCCATGTTAAGCTGAACACCATCTGATTACTACAATGCTCACCTAAACTGTTTTCCTTCCAGAGCTTAAATATAGTTTAGCTTTCATGCTAACAGTAGATCTTTACACCAAATCAAGTTTAAAATGCTGAGCCTTAAATTTGACCTAAATATCATTTAATGAAGAAACTTTCATACAAAAGAGCTTTTTATATCACTCCTTGACCCAGAAATCTTAAAATCCACTGCTTTTATTGCTTATAATCTAGGGCTAGGCCCATGGCTGACCATACATTGTCAATTTAAACCCAGCCTTTAAGAATCTGCTTTAATATAATATTGTTTAATAAGATCACTTCACATGGAACTTTGGAAAAAAAAGAACACTTAAAGTTAAACTGAATATTAGAAAGCCTGCCTCCATGGTATTTTGAACTATAAGGTTTGACTAAGGTTAGAGATCCTCATTTGGGTATTTTCAGTTAAGACAGGTATTGACTAAACCCCATTTTTTAAATCTGCAAACTGCAGTTGGGGGGGGGGGAAGGGCATTACATAAATCCTATGGGATTCAAAAGCTTCCCGATGCAAACTAGAAGCACAAGTACTAATTACAATGTGGTGTCTGGCATGACAAAACAGTCTTTCAAGATATCCTTCAGGAGCAAGGATCAGATGACAAGCAAGTCTGAGCTTCTTGAGAGAAATCTGTTATCACATGCAGGCTTTAAACTGTAGAAGTGCATACCTGAAGCCAACCACAACTTCATGCATGTAACCATGAGAACTACAAACAAAAGCAGGTACCCTCATAACTCCCAAATAGTAATGTTTATGCAGTTATACCAGTTTCATAAGCTGGACCTGAAAGTCTCCAAAAACATCCCAAGATAGCCAACCAAGAGGTATTTTCTCGAATTTAGAACAGATCTTTAAAAGAACAGAGTACACAAAGGAGTAAGTTGATTCTGAATTTACTCTCCCACTGATATACTAGGTGACCAAATCTTCCACAGAGAATGACTAACCCCACTGGATCTCATGGCATGCTGGCTGAGAATCACTAGCAAAGAGGAACTTCTCAGAGACCTGCAACTCTTAGGTAGCATAGATAGTACCTAGAGTCAAGTACAGGAAATATGGAAAAGACACAGGCCAATGATTCCAAACTAGGGTGCTGCAACACCCTGGGGCAACTTGAGATCTTTTTAGGGGTGCTGCAAGGTGCCACAAAGGGTTAGCACTATTAGGCATGCAAACATGATTGACAAGATAAACCCAACAATTTTAATTAAGAATCTACAGTGTTAAAAAAATTGTTGACATACTGTGGTCTTCCCGAGTTCTCTGCAACAGAAAAATTTCTGTATTACGTTTCCATAGTCAAAAAATGAGTGAAAACTAAAAACTGGCATTTTCCAAGGGGTGCTGTGTACCTGATGAGGGGGGCCTTAAGTCCATGAAGGCTGAGAACTACCAGCATAGGCACTTAGAGTGATTAATTCTTTCCTTTCACACTATGGCTACTGTGAAGTCTCTCTTAAGAACTTGGCATCTAAACCAAGTTGTCTGCCTAGGTAAGCTTTAAAAAACCCCAAAAAACTGGAACACACACAACCCCTCAGTACAGCCAACAGCTTGATATGGTGCAGAAATCTAATCCAGGCCTCCCACCTGCCAGACAAATGTACTAATCACCAGGAGGCAAAATTACCTTTTGCTCCTGTCTGTCTTTTGTGCTGCCCTTTCAACAGTGGCCTGCACAGTCTTCCTGCCGCAGGACAAAAAAAAGGGGTACTGTGCACTCAGAGCAGAAGTTAGGTGGCTCTCCACTAAGTCTGATGATCCCCACTCTGATGTCTGAAAGACTGATATGAGCTAGGACTGTGAGCAGCTCATTAGCTACAGGAAGTGCCAGTACTGGTCATCAGCCATATGTGTGCGTATGTGTTAGATCATGCAAGAAATTAAAAGGATGGGGGGCGACAGGGGCCGTTGGATCACACTAGAAATTAAGAGGATGGAAACAAGAGGTTACAACAGATGCTCTATGTTCTTGGTGAACAGGTTACAGGCTTCAAAAGAATGCACCTGTATCCCCAGACAAGTCCTGCTTAAAGAGGCTCACAGCCAGGAAAACAGATAAACAATTACAACTGTACAACTGTTTAACCAACTGGCTCAGAGATAACCGATTCTAGCTTACCAGTTATCATTTAACCTGGAACCAGTTGCAGTCCAGGAGGGAAGGGAAGCCCTGCAGTGCCCCAGCAGGAACCAGAAGGTAACAGGACAAGAAGGAGGGAGATAGGAGTGAGGAGTGGAAGGGGAAGAGGGGAGGGGGGAGAGGTGACTAATACTTAATAGCTAAACTATGAAGATGCTAGTACAGCCACTTGTGGCCTCCCCATCGCCTGCCACAAGCAGCCTAGGCTCTAGGCAGGCCATTGCCACCTGCCACAGGGTCCATGGAGCCTAGCTATTAGGTATTAGTCACCTCTCCCCACCCTGCCGCCCTTCCGCACTGCTGCAGATGGCTCCAGGGAGTTGCACATCAGTAGCTGCTGCCCCTTGTTGCCTGATGATGCCCAGGGCCTCCTGGGCTATGCTGCCTGTCGGGGGGGGGGGGGGGGTGGTTTGGGCCCCAGGCCC